AATGCCTAAATATAAGAAACGAGTTCTCAGGTCCTCAACGGTATACCTTGTTAAAAATTTTATTAAGGTATTGCCTACATTGCTCCTAAGCCATTCACGGTACTTTGTTATCAACCTGCATTTGCCATCCGCAACCAAGCGCTCACGAGTCAAACTAAAATTTCTCTTTATAAATAACTAGCTGACCCGGCGAACTTTGTTCCGCCTTAATGGCAATAAATAAGCAGACTTTTTTTTATTTCGAACGGGATAAAAAGTATCCTATGTCCTTCTCCTGGCTCTAAACTACCTCCCTGACAATTTTCAGCTAAATCGGTTCAGCCGTTCTTGAGTTATAAGCGAAGTAACTAACACGACTTTCTTTTATATATATAGAAGAAGTCAAGTATAGTAGAGTAAAACAGTAAGTCTGATAACGGTTTAAGAAACATTACAAAATAATTTCGTAACCGGCTTAGCAGCTGCACTGTTTTGCTCTAAGAAATATCAGCTCCAAAGTAAACTAGGTACTTTACACTGCACACGGAAGAGATAAGGGTCATTCGGTAAACAATGAGCTCACTTCCAGTACCCAAGCTCAAGATCAAAGTTAAGTCTGAACCTTCTGTCCTTTATTGCTTTCGACATAGAGACCTGTTTGAAGCGCGAAACTGGCTATCGGATGCCATTACCACTTTTATGAACCTGAAGTAACATTCATAAAGCGATCCAGCTTACGAGGAGTTATCAAAGCATGCTTCCAATATTGAAACACAAAAGGAATTTGAATTTTAACGAAGTTTTAACGGCTCTACCTTGCACCTGTCATGATTTTGTAAGTTCTTTTCAGGCTTCGATTTGTTACATGTGCGTTAAAGAACTACTTGTGAGCATATCTTTCATTATCTTTTTCACTTTGACTAGTCCGTTAACGACAAAATTAGGCATCAACCTACCCATTTCTCACAAATGTTTTAATTGCAATGGGATTTACATTATTTAATCGCAAATTGCCCTTAATTTGTATATCCCTAAAAAGCTTGAAGTAATTGTAGTTTCGATCTTAAGTCCAGGATCAGTGTATCAATGCGAGCCTCAGATAACGTTGTAGGTTAAAGGGCTTATCTCCGTCTAATCGCTGGTATTATTTTTAAATCTCTTCAATGGAAGTTCACTGACCGCGTAAGTTTAATTCAATTAACCGCCGGATGGTTTACAATGAAGTAATTTTAATATTTCAAACAGTTACCGAGAAAGATTGATAGGGCTATCGCGTGCTCCAATTAGATTCTTATGGGAACGAGACATTATTAAGAAGGTTCCGAGGTGAAGAATATATCATTCACTTGATAGAGTTCACAGGCGGTATTCTTATTAATACGCAGTAATTAATATCTGGCCGTTTTGTATTCTTCTCGAAGAATACACAATGTAACGTGTTACAGTTGACTCTATGAATAACAAACCGTGACCGTGTGTTATTTAAATTTTGATTAGCAAATTATATTACTGGCTACCGAATTAAACATAATTATAGGTACGCTGTCATATTAAACAATCTGAAATGTATATGTTGTTCGCAACTTTAAAAAAATCCCAGTCCTGTAATTAGTTAATCATGTAAATAAAGCCTTGGTACCTATTTGTTTATTTTATTACGTCAATCCATTCTGCTACTGTAGAATTTATCTCTCTGTAAGCAACTTAGCTTGAAACTGGTATTAACTGCTAAGAAAAGAATCATTGTCTCAAGACTTGACGATAAACCGCCAGATCCCCAAAACAATCGCGTCCATTGTAATGTCTGTCACACGAAATCGCAAATTCCAAGATTTCCATGCATACTATAAGAAAAACGCCCCAATCAAATGCAAATCGAGTGTCAAGCACTCGGCGGAGTTATTTTACATTTCAACGGGCAGGTGATCCATCATGGAGCCACAATTTTTTTCTCGTCAAGTGATCGCATGTTCGCAGTTTCGCACAGCCCTTCGTCGCGAAACTATTTTTCGCATTCTTGGCTCGTGGCGATAATTTCACGGGTTATTCTGTTAGACATGCTCCTGTTAGCTTAGTGGGATACAGCCAGGACTCTATGGAGAATTGAATTTTCATGCCCCGAGCGTTGAGTGGAACTGATTGTGCACGTGGATAGATCGCGTACCGCGCTGTTATTGTACCTACATTCAGTACCTATGTGGATGCGAATGTTGTAATTGAGAGATATTAAAAGTGAATCAATACTATTATCAGGAATAATTTAGTCATAACATAACAGATGAATATGATGTAATAGTATCAAGTAATATTAGTAAATGGAAAGAACCAATAGCCATGTTGCTATTTACGCAATTTTTAACAAATTGAATTAGGTGCATGAATTTTCTAACAAAAAAAGTTAAGTAACTTAATTTACAATGATCAAAATAGTCAGCCTATTGATATCAATAAATTGAGCTTAATGCAAATGACTCTATATTAGTGTCTGAAAACCATTTCTACAAATTAACTTCTCATAAATCTTAAGTATCTTCTCCCCATCGAGAATATTATGCACAGGTCACAAAACACCACAACCATCACAGTTATCCAATCTCGTACACAAACTAATAACATCACAATCATGCGCCATACCAGGATGTCATCATCTTGTACGAGTAGATGGTATGACATCATTTTCCTTTTTTCGTAGAATCCCCGCCACGGTACGCTGGCATTTTGATGGGAGTTTGATGCAGCACCTTCGGTACAGCCATTAGGTGCTATGGCCATAGCAAGCCATAGCAATTACGCCTATGTAAATTAGATCAGATTTATCAACGTACAACGAGCGCGGAGGAATTTCAATCATGCGTGTGTGTTGCGTGGTGTTGCCCCACACTTAATTGTTGGTGTCGTTTGGCGTTATCGTTTTCATGTTACGTATCAAGTTACGTTAGTTCTGTAAACTAACGTGGAGATACCTCATTAGTTTGCTCTTTAGTTGGATACTTGCATAAGTTATTTGATCAACGTAACTTCACGTACCTACGAGTGTTTATAGCGTTTTTAACTAAGACATTAATTGCTGGGTGAATTATTTTCTATCTAGACTAACTAGTCTAGTCTACATCGTTTCGTGTTGAAATTATCTGTCCTACTTGATATAACACTACGACTTCGAGTTACCGTATTTAGATTATGAGATATGTAACACGGAACTCGATGTTCCTACAACCAGCTAGGTCTATGTCCTTGTCATCATCAAGCATCAGGAACAAATCCTACAGAATCTTTTTATGGACATAACAAGTTCCACTTTAGCTCAGTAGCTTAACATCAATAAAATATTTAAATCTAAGTGAAGTATTCCAGTTTAGCAAGATACAGTTAATGAAATGTAAAGAGTTCAAATGCCAATGGTTCTCTTTTATAAAGTCGTATTTTTTTTTAAACTGAACTTATTTGATCATTCTCTATCAACTTTAGCCATAAAAATATTAATTTGAATAAGATTCCATCAATAAAAATACTGTTAAAGTACAATCGGAAAATGCTTCTCTCTAACTCGAGTGTGTTATGGGTACAGAAGTCAAGTCAACACACGACCCCTACGGACTTAGCCTTGGTGTCAACTGTACATGTATCGGAAACTGAGCTTTATGCTCATCAGAATATATTTTCATATGGTGTGGCTAGGACAGTGAAGAAAAACCGGTGTAAATGAGCAGGCACCGTTAAGAAGATGCGTGTGTCACCAAGCTATATTGTTTAGTGGGACCGCTCGCTGTTTGCGTTGCCATAAGGAATTAGCGCGTTGGCTGCTTGCTGAGCAATAACTATTTAGAAATGGTTCGAGATTTTTTGTTTGGACAACCTTTCTGATTTTTAGAACAAGTTCTTTCGGTAAGATTTATGAAGGCAAATAGAGACTATTTTTCTTTGCCATTTTTTCTAGGTAACTAGGTAAGTACCTATTAACAAGTCAAATTATTTTAAGATGTTCTTAAGTCCAACCTTGAAATAATGTGTGACTCTAAATGTAATAAAGGTCAAGTGTAGGTAATATTAAAAATTCAAGAAAGTGTTAGCAAAAGTGAGATAAAATCATTTCAACAACAATCCTTGTCGACGATGAAGTTTTTTACCGTTTTTTTTTCGAAGGTTCACGGCCAGCTTACCGGCTCCCGTTGAAATTTGAATAATGCCCAAACCTTAAGTACGCACCTCGATTATTTATTCTGCCGAACCCGCCGACTACTAATGCCTCCCGTTTATCATTCGAATTATCTCCTAATATTTTCTACGGCTTACGTCAGCTCAAAATGGATTACCGATCTGTCGAAGTGTCGACTGAGGACAAGGCTTAAGAATAAAACGCGTTTGTGGCATTGGAAGTTAGAAGGGCACTTAATTATAATTCTTGTGGAATTCAAAGGGTTAAATGTAGAGCTTTATGATTTTTTTAGTACCTAGCGAATAAACATTCAAAGAACTTGTAAGGAGGTGTTTTACACTTATTGTATGTAATGTTGTTGGTATACCGTAAATAAATAAATTAATATTCAATTCTACGTAATAAATGAGAACGAAAAAGTACTTTATGTAATAAGTATGTAAATATTCCTAAAGCAATTATTTGCAGGTTATTCTGTAATGTAAATTATAAGTAATATTTTCCCTAAAACCTGTGAACAGCGTTGATTACACCTTTCCCGAGAAGCACACAATAAATGCGCATACGAAAGATTACTTATTTGCATATTTTCAAGAACTTCTGTTTAACTGAAATAAGTTTATTGACATGGGTGAGTCTGTGCTCATTAAAAATGGTGAGAAAAAATCTCACGATTATCTCATCACCGGTCACGTATTGAATATATGCATATCTATGTCAATACGAGCGAAACGCCCACCGTGGCTGTGCAAACAAACGATATATTTGCGGATACCATAAACGTTTAAGAATGTTGTCGAAACTCTTGAAAACATCAAACAAAATCGTCAGGTTTTCGTAAGCGCGAATTTTTAAATTGACATACCTGCACAGCGCTGTTTAGGAAGCAGTTGTTAAGTCCTGGGGCATTCCAGAGTCCTTTCGTGGTGTGGAATATTCCAGAGTCCCTGGAGTCATCCCTGGAGTGCTGCGGCCGGAGCTCGTGCGCCGGAGTCGCCATGGCGGCGGCCATTACAAATCACACGCCTGCCATTTCCACTGTTAGCAGTCTCTGTTGCCGTAGCATTGTGGAGGTGTACCTGAAAAGATGTAACAGAATAAGTACTAGTTTTTCTAGATAACCTAATGGCGCTCAAGTAAAGGTCTACTAGACTCGAACTTAACTTTAATTCTTGTTAGGACTCAGTAGCAAACTGACCTCCAGTGATTGGGTTTTTACAAGCGGTAGGTAAAGCTGTAGACCTGCTACACAGAAGTTGAGCAGTGGGAACGAGAGGTGAAGGAGTACATAGGACTGAAAAAATCTAAAGAATGAAACCATAGCAGGAATAAAATCAGCCATATTATTTGATTCCTGTTGCTTTTCTCCATGAAGCCTATTAAGAGCCGTGTGATTTAGATGCTGAAACATAGAGAGCAGTCTGCAATCTTTGATGATAGTGTGTCAGCAAATTGGTGCGTTCACACAGACAGATGTCTAGTCCGCCTTCCCAGTGCTATAATTGTTCGCATCGGGGTTAATAAGCCAACTTTTCATATTAATTGCACAATGAGTCGTTTGCAGTTTCCTTTCACTGTTAGCGGTTGGGAATGACAAGAGACAAAGACAATGAATCGATTCATTTAGTTGCACAGACCTTTGTCTACACAAGTTTGTGTAACCGATTGTACGAGGTATGGTAATTGTGATTGGCAGGTCGCGACGGACCGCGAAAATTAATCAGCCAACGTCGATATCGCGTTTTGAAGTCACTAAGGTCTATATTTCTTTGCAGGTACTGCACTTACTTAGTTTGAATACCAAGTAACTTTATTTACTTGCTTGTTTCGTATTCAGCACGTAAGCTCAAAGTTATTTTTATGGTCTTTCACTCAACGTCAGAATTCATCGCATACAAAACAAACAGTAAAAGCGGTCTCTACCTTAAAAGACAAAGCGTTGTTGCCTTCGTATCTTTTATTTGCATACGTACATATAATTATTGGGAAATGTAAGTAGACACTCGTATCTGTTCTGAGAAGACTTCAAAACGATTTAGACAGCACAATGGGTTTTTCCAAGGAACGTTAAGTATGACTGTGGCAATCAGTCGCGAATGCAGAAAGTAAAATCCTAGACATTGCATAATGAGGTGGATACTTATGAAAGAATGCACACGGAAGACGCCGGGTTGAGGACAAAAAGTGAATCGTAGCAGTCACTGGTATTATTCTCGCTGTAATAGGCATTCCTGAGGAACTGTCGCGGCTGTAATTGGACGTGATGGTTCATTTTCTATGATTAAGTAGTAAAGGTTTAAGAGCTAGTTACGAAGAGTGGTGAAAATTGTAGAAGTAGAGACTCTACGTCCATGAAGAAAAGCATTGCGCTGATAATTTGTTACGTTGTGTACGTTAGAAGAAATAGCGCACAAAAATACTTATATCAAGATTTGTCACACGTTGTTCTCAAAGGTATTAAGTGTAAAAATAACACGAGTGACGATTTAAAAACATAGACAACGCGATCGGATTCAATCGACACTAAGTACTTGTGCTGTCTCCCCTAATGAAAGAGCCACAAGCTCCAATGTAGGACTTCAGAATCCCTAATTCGCAAGTTGCCCAAATTGGTACGGGCAGACAGCGCACGCGTACATGTGCTCGCTTCCGCGAAACCGCAACACTAAAACCGTTTATTGCAAACAAAACATGATTTATGGGTAATTCATTTCGCTCTAGACGTGTTTTTGAAAATTATACGCCAGTCATGTTTACAAAAATTATAATAGTACACAGAATTCGGCCGCGTTTTATTTTTCAGGAAATATAATTTAGTTTTATGTAAAACTAAAGCTAAACAATCTTGAAATATTTGACCCGTATCATAGAAATATTTTTCATAAACGTATCTTAAGATCCTTATCTTTTTCAATGATTGCCTTTTAATTGGCTTGACATTTAAAAAAACTGAATTCAAAAGGAAAAACATCAAACCTGGTTTGGTTACCGAACCTTGGGATAAGTTATAAAACAATTAAGTCAACATTAACTCTTTAACATACAATGTAGATGCAAACGATGAGAAAAATTATAACGAGTGTGAACACAAAAGTTCAAGGCTTGAGATTTTGTTTGAAGAAACCAACAACCTTAGTATGTATTAAAGTAATACAGTAGCTACCATAAAACGTGTTTCGTATACGATGTAGAGTCGACAGCACGTCATATTACTTAAACTTTTTGTTGGTAAGTATTAAGGTATTTTTAAAAATACATATTCGAAGACTTGAGAACCTGAAAGTTCATAAAAAGAACTTGAAAGCTCCGAAAAACAGAAAAATCCATCGGAAAACGTGAGCCATACCTAGTTGACACATAAAGAAAGGGTCACTATTATCAGACAGTGACTATTTGTCTGAGAATATTAAATTAATTGACTTAATTAATTTGAGGATATTCACCTACAACACAGAATAATAATAAGTACTCCTACAACTACGATTCTTATTTCATCTGTAGTAGTTACCTCCCTATAAAATTACTTTTGGTTTCCTCACATTCAGTGATAAAGTTTTCTCCGAATCGGCCCAATGTTTACGTTATTTTAATTTTATTTGTACGTTATTTCTTCGGCTTCCGATCGGGTTCGGTTATTTTCTAAGATCTAGGTTAATCCGCGCATCACTTGCGCAAGCTCATAGGCGTTACTTTTATTTACGGATTGCGGATGCATTGCAAGAAACGCAGATCGTGATTGCGGCATATGGTAAATATTTATGGGATTGTTCCATCTCATCCTGAAGACGACATGAGGAATGTGATGTGAGCATCTTTTTTTACCATTGGATACTAAACAGGTCGTTCAATTTAAAGTTGGGTTCATTTTTACATTTAGAGGGATTCAACATATTTTATTCTGGTGAGAGTTAGTTCACAGAAGGACTGACTAAAGGCACTGTTAACAAATAATCATCTGCTTTTTATTGGAGTTAATTGAAAAATATAAATAGGTTGTTATGGCCGTAGGTGTAGAGCACTAAGAAGTATTTACATGAACAATTAGATAACACATGGAGTTAATGAATATCAAATTGATGCGTTGATTTGTAAGTCCTATAAGTTTTTATTTTTGTAAGTCTGGCAGTTTTAATTAAAAATAACAATAACAAAATCCGTTGTTAATATCGGTACGTAACTGTTGACTAATTGTTCAAACTTCAAACTCATAAAACAGGTCCAATCAATGGCATAATAACCAATGCCCTGGTCAATTATAATTATTTCTGAGCAGTGGTTTTTGAAAGGGTTAAAAATCCCATCACATCTCTACCGTGGTTAATCCACGCACCCAAAATTACTTTTGAGGCTTACATTCTTCCTGTTACAAAGGCGTAAGTGCTGTTCATTTGAAAATGGACTCTAAATATTGAAAATTAAAGCACAAATGGTAAATTCATCGAAGTTCCAAAAGTTACCAAAGATATTTTGGTTTAATTAAAGAATCGTAATACTTTTTAATGCCTTCCAACCACTCGACTTATAAAGTCACATTTTAGGATTTTAACGAGATTATCGTGAAAGTTATTAGATATTTCGATTAAAAATGTATTAAATGCTCTGCTGGGCTTGGAGCTTTTAGGTGCATACAGCATAATTAATTTGACTAATGTTTGGATTATTAAGGGACCACCACCATTTTCAGTACAGTTTGAATTATGAATGCAGAAAAAATATTGCATAAACAATATGAAATCCATCCGTATTCCGTATCTAGGAATGATGCTAACATCATAATGATTCATTATTATCTTTGGAATGACTAATTCTCGCATCACTGATGCGAAAATTACATTTACAAACAAAATCTAAAATAGTGCTGACATAAAGGTTTTTATCGAATCATCTAATTTCCTATAATTTGGGCTATAAGTCGAGTACTGTGAGACGGATTAAATTAGTTTCATAAACAAACGAAGCCTACTTTCTGTCGCCATAATGACGGCAGGGAATGCTAGCGTGATGCGCGAGGGCATCCATCTACGTAATCAGTGATGATGATAATCACCGAAATGATCCCCGCCGCAAACCGCATTCCACACTCGCCCGAATATCACTTTTTTAGGCACTTTTTCTTTCCAAATATGGGGACATACACTTCTGTCCGTCATTTTAACCGAAACTTGTTTAAATGAATAACATTTTTAATAAATAAAGTTTTAAAATTTCTCGTACGACGTTTTTATCGTCATTATAACTAACTAGCAGTGCCCGCGACTTCGTACGCGTGAAAATCATGCACGCTCCTGCACCTATTACTCGTAGCGTGATGGTATATAGCCTATAGCCTTCCTTGATAAATGGGATATCTAACACTGAAATAATTTTTCAAATCGGACCGGTAGTTCCTGAGATTAGCGCGTTCAAGTAAACAAACAAACAAACTCTTCAACTTTATAATATTAGTATAGATTATCTCAATAAATTCCTGGTTTTAGTCTTGAACCGTGGCATCTTTCGATGAAAAAATGCCAATGATTGAATAATTGCCTACCAAACAAACTTGCCCGAAGATGGACATTATAAAAACGATGACAGCACAAAGCTTTTGTCACTAAACGGTCGATAAAAGCTTTAATAACACGTCTGTTTGGTCTCAAATGTGAAGATTACGGCCATCGAACGCAAGTCACGATCCGAATGATTGGGAACTATCACAAAAAAATGACCAAAAGACATAATGGTCGGTTGGAATGAAATTGTTTGTTTACTACAATCATGTACTCAATAATACTGTATGAATCAGAAAGTAATACAAAAACACGAGATGTTTTTCGGCTAAAAGGTCCCTTTCAAGTGGCTTCATCTACTCAACGTCGCGACACTTTTTTCGCATAAAAAAGGATGTTAACCCGAGTGATCCCGATTCTCTGGGAACGTAGTTTATTTAAAAAAAACATTGCACTCAAGTGTCTGAGCAATAAATAATTTGACTGATAACCTAAAAGCATTCCGTCGCGACTCGGCTCAAGTAGGATCGTGAAGTTCAAGGATCTTGAGTTTAATCCTGCGACTGCGAGTTTCAACTTCAACTATGAAG